GCTGAGCAGGGAGCCTGATGTGGGGCTCGATCCCAGGACCCTGGGATCGTGACCTGAGCCGAAGGCAGATGCTTAACGACTGAGCCACCCAGGCGCCCCAAAAAAGGTTTATTTCTTTGTTTGAGAGAGAGAGAGAGAGAACAAGCGAGAACGAGTAGGAAGGGCAGAAGGAGAGGGAGAGAGAATCTCAAGCATACTCTGTGCTAAGCGGGACTCCATCCCAGGACCCTGAGATCATGACCTCGAGCCAAAACCAAGAGTTGGATGCTTACCCAACTGAGCCACTCAGGTGCCCCAGCCTTCGTGTATAATCTTTGTAATAGCATGGGCTGGGCTAGGTCATTGTGGTTTTGAAAAGAAGTCATAAAGAAGTACCTGATTCAAGTATGCTTTAGGAATTCATAGGACTAGAAGGGACTATTCCACATAGCCCTCTATACCCCACCATTGCAGACAGGGTGAGTGCTGGGACCTCATTCTGCTAGTATTTATAGTGTGGGTGGGTGACTGTGGCCTCCTGGTAGCCTGGGGAGTAAAAGAACTAGATCTGATGTTGCATTTACCATTCCTGCTCTTCATTTTATTTTATTTTTTTAATTTTATTTTTTTGAGGTTTTATTTTATTTATTTGTCAGAGAGAGAGCACAACCAGGGGGAGTAGCAGAGGGAGAGGGAGAAGCAGGCTTCCCACTGAGCAAGGAGCCGCATGCGGCACTTGATCCCAGGACCCTGGGATCATGACCTGAGCTGACTGAGCCACCCAGGTGTCCCCATTCCTGCTCTTTAGGTTGAGCCACTAGGCAGTACAGTTGACCCTTGAACAACATAGGGGTTAGGGGCAACAACTCCCCCCACCGCCCCCAGCTGAAAATTCTTGTGTCGCTTGACTTCCCAAAAGCTTAACTACTAAGAGCCTGCTGTTGACCAGAAGCCTTACCAATACTGTGAACAGTTGATTCATACAGATTTTATATTTGTATTACACGCCATATTCTTACAATAAAGTAAGCTAGAGAAAAGAAAATCATTATTAAAATCCTAAGGAAGAGAAAATATATTTGCAGTAGTGTACTTTATAAAAAAAAAATCCATATGTCAGTGGACCTAGAGTTCAAACCTGAATTTAAGAGTCAGCTATACTTCCTCTCTCTGTAAGACTAGACGTGTCCTGGACAACTCCTAAGAAAAATGATCTTGTTGGCTAAAACAAGTGTTGGCTGTGTTGAAGTCCATGTAAATGAGACAGGACTGTATATTGTAAATAAGGGAAGGTATTCAGTTTAGAGCTTGCAGTACAACAAGGGATGTTATAGGATTCATATAAAGTCACCGAACAAGACCCTGAAGGATCGGTTTTGCAGGATCATGTTAGGGTATTGTGATGTAAAGATGCCAGCATCACACTCCCCATCTGGTTAGCGCCTAGTGAATTTTAAAACATGATTATGTTTCACCATATACTGATAGTCAGGTCCCTTGGTTTTGATAAGATGATATTCACTAATCAAAAAGTTTTATTTATTTTTTTGTCACTTAGGTTTCTGTCCTTGTGATAAGATAGATGTCGTTGACACTGATGAAACAAAGAATCCATTATGCTTTTCTGTTTCATTCTTTTTGATTTTCTGTAAAAAAAAATGACACATTTGGTAGATAACGTGCTTGTGAGAGCATATGGTGATAATCTGTAGAGTAAGGCCAACAGAAGACCATTTTGGAGCTGGTGGGATGGGGAAGATGGGGCAGATTTTTATCCTGTGATTTTTTTTTTTTTCCCTGAAGTTTTGTTGGCTGAGAAAAAAAATCTTTTATTATTATTATTTTTTAAATATTTTTAAGTAATGTCTTGCCAGCAAGTTAGAGCAAGAGAGAGAGTGAGGATTTGAATCCTAGTCTTACATTGTCTTTGAAACTGTAATTGTTGTATATTGATTATTTACTGTGTGAGACACTGTGTCTAACACTTTAAATGTGTTAGCTTACTTAATCGCTATAGGTGAGTGCCGTTATCTTTATTTTATTGATAAGGAGATAGAGTCTTTGGAGAGGTTCTAGGGCATCATATAAATAGGGTTTTTTTTTTTTTTTTTTTTGAACTTGATTTGCAATGCAGGAAGACTAGAGCATTTTCTGTTTACATTTATTTCAGATGGTCATGGAAGAGCAGAGCCTCTAGATGAAGCTAAATCTCTGTTTTTAAATGTAGAAGTGAAAATATTCAGTGTCCTGGGTTGGGATAGAATGTTGCTCCCTGTCATGTGAATTGGCCATTACAGTTTTGAAAAGTGTTGTGTTTCTGAAATTTCAGCTTAATTAAAAGGTAATTGGTTTTCCTACACATCAGTTTCCTTTTTTCTCTCCTCTCTGAAAGACATTCCCACACCAGCGTAGGTGAGAGTAAGTGGAAAAATTCTCAAGTCGTAGGCAAGTGGAGAGTGGAACTCCAAAGGACCTTGGGACAGCTGGGGAAGAGAGCTAGAATTTTCCCTTCTAAGTAGCTTTTCTTTTTCTTTTAAAGACTTTATTTTATTTATTAGAGAGAGAGAGAGAGAGAGAGCATGCACAAGCAGGGGGAGCAGCAAGCAGAGGGAGAAGCAGGCTCCATGCTGAGCAGGGAGCCCGATGCGGGGCTCGATCCCAGGACCCTGAGATCATGACCTGAGCCAAAGGCAAACGCTTAACCACTGAGCCACCCAGGTGCCCTTCTTTTCTAACTAGTGTCGACTACCGATGAGCGTAGTCTTTTAGATTCAACTAAAGATTTTGGTCTTTTATTACGTTATTGTTTTCTTGAGTAGAAACAGAAAACTTCAGAGCGGCTCCTTGTGTGAGGCCTGGGTAAGCATGGTCCTTCCTGTGCCCACTCTGCTCTTGTCAGTGGGTTGTGCACATGGTGAGGTTGACCTCAGGCTCGAAGCTGGCCATCAAAGTTTCTTTGCTGTAGACGAGCACATACATATTAATTTCACCTCCTTTAAAGCTCAGGAGAAGATGTCGAGTTTTGCCAAATCCAAAGTAAGCAGGATTTTTCTGGAAATTGGCTTTTGGCATTATTTTAGGAAGTGCACTAAAGGAAGATAAGCTACGGTCTCATGGTTAGAGTGAACCGGGCTTAGGGATTCAGAACCCCTGGTCTGGCTCCAGGGGGGTGTATGTGTGTGCGTGTGACCTTGGCTAAGTCACTTTCCTTTAATCCTCCCTCTACTTCCAGTTTTCGATTTTTCCTGCCATGAATGGCAGATAGAATTCTTGCTAGGTACAAATATATTTTACAGGCCGGCTTTAAAAGGTGAAAGCCAGGTTTACTTTTACGGATTTGTGACAAATATGCTATCTTTTTGTTAGAGAAAAAAATCTCTCTCCTACATACTTTACTGTTGCAAAGGACGCCTTTACTTCCTACCTCCACGTTGGAAAGGATGTTTCCGTCTGGGTGGTTTAAAAAAAAAATGCTCTTTGGTTGTAGTCATCTTGAGGATTCACTCGTAGTCAACTTGTCTATGTGCTTAGCACAAACACTGGACATGCAAGGGAAGAGGGGATCTATCATCTGATATAAATGATGCCAACTGGTGCATGGCGTGGGCTAGAGGTCTTTATTTTTTTAAAGATTATTTATCTGAGAGAGAGAGAGAGCACGCGCTCATGAGCAGGGGGAAGGGAGAGGCAGAGGGAGAAGCAGACTCCCGGCTGAGCAGGGAGCCCAATGCTGGACTCGATCCCAGGGCCCTGGAACCTGACCTGAGCTGAAGGCAGACGCCTCACCGACTGAGCCACCCAGGCGCCCCAGGCTAGAGGTCTTTAATGAAAAAAGGCAGAGCTCCCTAAGAGACTGTTCCAGACAG